TATTTGCAAGTATTATATGTCTACCACCAACTTTCGCGAAAATAAAAAGTTGCACGGGATTTGCAAGGTGTATTTTGAAAGAACTTGCAATTTGTATGCATTGGATATGATTGCAAGTAAGCTTCTGGTAAGGATTTTAAGTTTGAGACCGGCAATTTATAATTTCGTATTTTTGGAATAAAAATAGGAATCTATCTGCACCTTACACGTGTTTGCGTCTTGCGTGCCATCCAAGCGACTTGTGCTAAAAGCTTCTGTTTTGCAACAGTATGCGTAATCGTTCAACAACTGTTTCGCTCTCGTATTATTGCTGCTAATAAATCTTTATTTACAATATAACATACATTGAAAATAATTTTGGAAACTATGGGTTTCTCAAGGACTTCCCTCAGGGAGTCCCGTTGGGGAACTTCTTGGGAAAAAGGATTCCTGAGGTTCAAGAATATGCTCAGAATATTCATGTCTTGGATAACTGTATGATCATTCCTCTGTCCTCTGAATTCATGTAAAACAATTCTTGTATAAATATGCCATTCGCAAATATAAAACTGCCATTGACTGTTCTTATGGATAAAGGAATTGTTAAGTACAAACACGGTAGATCTTCAAGAAATTTATTAAATTAAATTGAAATGTCAAGCAACTGCTAACGTAGTTCACACAAATGCAGTCTTTCTATTGAAGCTACTTTGAAATAAGTGAAAAGTACAGGATATTGTTGCCGAATGTTAGGGAGCAAAGCTAATTTGATGAATGTGCTTCGGCTCTGAGCTGCTCAATAGTATAGTATTCGGAAATCCAATGCTCAAAGTTTAAAAAGAGACATTTTGCTAATGGATATAATCTCTGCAGCTCATGACGGTTAGTTAATGTTGTGTTTTTGAAGTATCGAGCGCTGTTTGGAAAGACTTCGTGACACATCAGTGTGATGAATTCGGAAATATAAAGAAGTTAAGAATATTAAGTTATGCGCATAATTTATCTTCTAGTGTGTTTTCAAGAAGTTTACGGAAGAATGTTTACGGATACATCGCTATGAATAATAAACTAGATTTCTGTTTAAAATATTTTCTTTCTGCAGCATTATGAAATCTTATAATCAAGAATTTCCAAAGTCCGGAGCATTCCAGATTATCGGACTTTATATACAGGGGTGATTCAAACAGTATGATAGTAGGAGCGACATTTCAGGATTCAGGAGATTTCGAAAATCGCAGCAAGATTTTCCAGAAGCAAATATTCCCTAATTACGTAATTATTGCGTTTTATATTATTATATATATGACTTTCCTTTTCTCCTGCTCTATATTCAGAAAAATGTGTTCCTTCACAATACAAATTTGAATTTACCCTAAGATGAAACGGAATTGAAATCGGAATATGGAATCGCGTATTATAATGTAAAAGGCTTTTCATTTTAATGAAGAATAAGCACTAATTTGGAAAACAGATTGAGTGCTTTTTCTTTAACTGAAGCAAACTTCTGCGGAAAAAATAAAATAAGTGAAACGGGACAGCCCGCGCTATGAGGAAATTACTATTCGATAAAAGTTTGTTTCTTTTTTGATGAACATGAGAAACATCATCATGGCTGTCTGCCGTAGGAGGTGAATACTTTTGTGGATAACTTTCTGTGAAAGAGAAAGGAAATTTTTTTAATCTTTTTCAGATTCATTTAATTTTTCGGGCTTCTGCATTTCGTCTTTGCAGTGCAAGTTAACCAGTTAACAGATAAGAGTGATAACGTTTTCTTATCAGTATTAATGTGTATACGTGAGTTCACATAAGTCTCAAATACTTCCTTAGTTTGAAACAACCTCAGCGTAGATTGCGTATTTGTCTTCCTTGAAAGAGGTTTTCAGTGATTATTCAAACCATTCGACCACTGAAGAAATCCACTACCCTACGAGCAACAGCAAACTTTTCGAGATCCAAGATTAAATATAACAACTGTAAGGAGAAACTTCCTGAAAGAAAAAAAAGACCTGAGAGATTGGGGAAAAAATCAAGATCTCATTATTTTAAAATGGCCTGAACATTTTTTTTTCGCTGTTCCAATGGCCTTTACTTCCTTTAAAATAAAATGCCGTTTATAGGAATCCATAGAAACGGAATTGTTTGCCACTTTGCTTGTCACATTGCCAATTAGCGCAGGGCGGATGTTTTGAAATTAATTAAATTATTCTACATAAATATAATTTAATGAAATTAATTTGCTAATTTGTAAAAAAATGGCGTCGTTACATAATTTCTGTTTCAAAATGCAGTTGTACTTCAAAAAATAACTATTGTTTGCTGCAGGCGAATCTCTTGGAACGTACCACCTGCGTAATTCATCAGTACTGTAAGGAAAGCGTTTATTAGCAACAGACATGTGCTTTCTCTGCCGTCTGCTAATTGTAAGTATAAAATAGTAATTACATTCATCACACACTTCAACATTAGTAAGAGTTGCAAACATTCGCAACTCATGGATTCGGAGGGACAAAATGAAAGCAAATGTGAAAATAACATCGTTAATAGTTGAAGCTAAACTTTCTAATTTTTTTTACATTAACTTGAACTAGTCTGTTAAAAAAAAGTACAATTTCAGCAAAAAAGTTATTAAGTTTAATTTTGCTCTTCCAGATTTTTAATGCATTTAAACGTTTTTAGAAGCATGTGATTAAAATATTTGTATTTTAAAATTATTTAAGATACTACTATTTTAAAAAATTATCTAAGTATTTGTGTATTATTACAAAAAATTTTATATAACAAAAATGTAATTCGTCGTGAAAATGCTAGGATTTTGTGAAAATTTTATTTTCTAAAATTTAATGCACTTACATCTGCTAAATGTCTTCATACTTTACATTCCTGATAGACAGCTCTGCGTTTGAGCTATCACTTTCAAAATAATGCACTGCGTTGACCTATTACGATTTAGTTTATTTGATTAGACAAAGCATGCCAGGGCTATCTGCCAAAGGAAGGAATTTATTCGAGAAGGACCTGTAAAGAGAAGCTTGTTCTTATATACGTTATACATGGAGAACACCATGAAAGCATTGACACGTAACCATCCCGTTTTCCGCAATTTGAATGTGGATCGAACTACTAGAATTTAGCAGTCTTATACACTTAGTTTTTGATTAGCCAGCTGACGTTTTACGGAAGATGTTCATTCCTAACTTAAAAGAAAGGAAAGCATTCAATTTTCTGGCATTTAGGATGGGGCATCAGTCCATGCTGTTCTTCTCTTACTTTCAAATTTTGGCCAAATTAAATTAATGAACGTGTAGAGTTATTAGGTTATTTTTAATGTGGGAGACTTGAAAAAGGAGGAATACTCTTGCCGGGATTCGAACCTGGACCTCTCGAATACACGGCAAGTGTGCCAACCCTTACACCACGAAGAAATGCAGAAAGGAGGGAGAAAATACCTTATACCTTTTAAAGGGCGACTGGGGATTAGGGGACCCGATCGCCAAATTCTAGTGGTGAAGAATCATCATCCACCACCTTTTAGTTCATGCGTTGCTGTAAAGTCATTAGTTTTTTTTTTTTTTTTTTTTTTTTTTTTAAGTAAGAAACGTGAAAAATGAGCAATGTCCGCTCCGGGTCTCGAACCTGGACCTCTCGAATACGCGCCGAATGTGCAACCGTTACCTCACGAAGGCATGCTGGAAAGAGGGAGCTCTTTTAATCTGTATTGCCATCAGGTTTCCACACCGGAATCCTACATTTTCTTGCAGAGCTACCCGATGTCACTGTAGGAGACTATTTTTCGTCATTTGCAAAGTGACAAGGTGCATATACAAGAGCAAAATACGTCAGTTAAATATATATTTATAATATAAGTATTTTCAAACTGAGAAGTGATAGAATACACATAAACAATGAATTTTTGCCACATAATTAATCTATGGTTGTAATTCAAGCGGTGAAGCTATAGCAGATATAAGCTATAAGCTATAAAGACATTAAAAATCATCGAAGAGAAATGGAAAATGTAACCAAATTACTGAACATATTTTATTCAATATTACAGTAGTTTCTCAAAAGAATGATTAGAATTAGGATTTACATTAGAAATTTGAATTAGATGTAGTGATTGGTATATATTAGCGAAAATGCCTGGCATTTCTCGAATAGCAGCAGCGGCAGTAGAAATACAAGCTCCTCATTGAGATCGAGAGGGCTATCCGTAGGTGAGGCGTTTCAAACGACCCCTTAGGAAAACGACGAAGCATGAGGGATCGGGCGATTACCAGAACCAATCCATTATCTTGGGAACTAGAGTCCAAGCGTTAGAGTTGTGATCCTTGGTGTTAGAACCACTTAAATGTTTGCTGAATCAGGATTTAGTAATTCTAGCAAGACTTCTTGTAAAAATATTAGGTGTGTTCGTTCGTCCAGTAGGTTTGGCAAACGATATGGCCAATCAAATGGATATATATGGTTCTCACCCAAACATGTATTCAGAATGTGGTCGTATGTCGTGCGGATTACTGATTGCCCACACATAAGAATGATGGTAATTAAAAATTTACTCGTGCATTCGTCAATGAAGGCGATATGTTGTGCAAAACTGAATTACTACCGTGAATTATATGACGAATGTGTTCGTTTAAATGTATTTTTTAACTCCCTAAAATTTCGCCTCGAAATTTTGAATCATCCTGTATGGCAATGATTCCTATAGAATGATGAACTTGTTGTGCATGAATCTTTATTCATTCGTCTTCAAGCAGTGCTAAATGGCATTTGTATTGAAGCATTTTGTGTTTTTACTAACGATATGCCATCTGGCAAGCATAATTGTGATTAAATAAATCACACAATAGAATTACTCAGTAATAAAATCTTTGATACTTTTATGCAGTTCTATGCTGATCAGTTTGCGATGCATTGAAAACTCATGTTTCGGATCACAGTGCCTTTTCTTGGTGTCAATTGACATTTCTTTTTTCTGAAAATTCTCTGCGTTCGCTGATTAACTTGTATGTTTTTAACAGGCAAGCACAATCATCTTTGGGATGTCTCACTCGCTATTCCAAGAAATGTTTATCGCCTGAAGAACGTCCTCAATTTAATGAAGGTATTTCTGGACCCCAGAAGTTGACACTTGGGCTTTGTACCGAAGACTCGGATCTACGATCAAGTGAGGCAGTTATTCATTTGGTTAATTATTGCATTTATTTTATTCACCGGTATTAATCATTATGTGTTCTATACATCATAGTATTTCTTTAAAAAATTAATAAACTTTTGTACGGAACTATATTCATTCATAAATGCCAGATTTATGGTTAGCGGTAAGAAACTTTTGACCTACATAAATGATCATGGTCAACAATAAATATTTAGTTTCTTTTTTTAAGGTTATGGGGTATCATTGAGACACCAAAGGAGTCATGCAAAACTATTGACATTAAATTAGCATTTTTGTGTTATGTATAAATCAGTTTATATAAAAATCAGGTACAAGTTATGACTCATAAAAGAAAGTTTTTTTAAGTAACATTCAGTCATTTCACTAGTACTAACAGAAAACGTTTATGGTAGATCAATTACTTTTATTTTTAAGATTTTACGTAAGTGCATATTTTTAATTTTGTTTATCTGTTTTAATGTAAGTTTTTTTATTTTGTATTGACTGCTGTTTATCCATACTAGACTTTATATTTTTAAAAGGTTTTGTTTTTATTTTCTAATACATCTTCATATACATCTTTAATTAAGAGAGATTAATTTTAAAAATAATTCTTTCCTGCACGTAAAGGCACGCTATGTCCATGCCTTATAAACATGATTTATAGCATTCTTCTTAATCGTTTTAATTTTGAGCTCGGAGAAGCAAAGTAATCGAATGAACCTTATTCGCATAGAATATTTTCTCTTATCGAAAAACCTTTCCTTTACAGTTTTCTTTATTTCTTTTACTGACTTTATGTTATTAATGGCTTTCTCAAATCGCCGCAATTTTCTCTCAGTTTTCAAGTAGGCTGGAATTTATTGACTTGTCTTTCCTGCTTATTAGAAGAAGCAATTTCAGCCTAACATTCTTCTGGCATGTTCGAATTTTTCAATTTTTATCGCAATTTCTTACACAGGTTATTGAGCTGGACGGAAGCCTATTTCTCCGTGCGACATGAAATTATAGCAACTTTTATTTGGACAAATGTTTCTTTTTTAAGGCCTATAATCTTTCAAAGTATTCCTTCAAATCACCATAGAAATCACGGTTCGTATTTCGTACAGGATCTAAATTTTTTTAAAAAAATTGTCTAAACTTCTAATAAAAGAGTGTTAAATTATAGCGTTCATTTTTTGGCCTATTTCTCATGCTTAATATTAAATAAGTGTGCAAATTTAGATGGCAGAATTCCAATCAATTAATTATATTTAGGAATTAGCAATACCTGTTCTTCGTATTTCCAACATATCTGGGAAAGAACGTATATCATTTTCTTTTGCTAAAATGCAAATAGAAAAATACGGTACTATTTTATAAAATTGTCAGTTACTTGCTGTTCAAGTAAATTAATCGTTTTTGAAAATTTCACCTCTGCCAATAACTCCTCTAATTCGAAGGATCTTTTTTTATCTCTCCCTCTCTATATTTCAGCTTTAGATGCGGTCAAAGCAAGGCCTTTTTTTATCAAATTAGATAACCGTTGAATATTTCTTTACCTTTCTCCGCATTTGATCTAAACATCAAATCTTCCCCCCAAAATTCTCTGATAATACATCCCTGCGTTCAAGCAAATAATTCTGGAAAATTCTGCAAGAACTGAACAAATATCCTTTCAGATTGGTATTCGTAAAATTCTGTGCAGATTATCTATTGTTGGAACTGGAAAATCAGTGAAAACATGACTGATTAGGCGATTCAAAACCAGCTTATTGCTTGCCATCTTTAATAATTTCACATTTTGTTCCAAATTTGTTTTCATAGACATTTTTGTCAATGAACTTGCTCTGATAACTGTTATATTTTCGGTGATGATGTCTGCCTCTGAAATTACAAAAAGCGAAACAATCTCTCTCTAATCCTGGGACAACACTTTTGTCCAGATGGAAGACAAGAGCAATGACATTTTAATTAACCAAATTTAGTTAATTAAGAAAATGGAATATGTTTTCATTATAGAGTCATTTCTGTCTTGTCTGAGGAATTAATATGAATTCCGTAGTATTTTCCCTTTCCTAATAATACTAAAGTTATTCCTTTAGTATTATTCTATAAAATACCTAACCAAATTCGACTATAGATGACGACACATGCGGAAATTGTAGTGCTTCATTGCGCGATATCATGAAGCACATGGTGCTTAGGTATTTCTGCAATTTTCTGATCTGATTTTAACATTTCATTTTTGAAACGTTTTTACTCAAGGCTTGCGTTTTCGCTAGTAATACATTCCAAAATTTATCGCGGATACGTGAATCTTGTTTTAAATAATACTGTACACCAGTGTTTCTCAACTGGATTTACTCCAAGGACCGATAAAATATTTTGATATATGCTCGCGGACCGGTAAGTTTAATAATTCGACTCATTGACACACTTTTTTCACATAAATAAATCATGAAGACAAAAATAATTTTTAAAGCATTTTATTTAAATTGAATGTACACTGCTAAAAAAAAAAAAAAAAAAAAAAAAAAAAAAAAAAATGGGACAGTGCTATATCTCCCGTTCTACTGGGCCGATTGAACAAAGTCAAATTGCGTTTTTCATGTCTCGAAAGCGCGACTTAGGATATATATTAGATTTATATATAGCACTATTCTAACATAGGTATTTTGACACAAAATCGGACTTTTTCTGAAATAACATACCAATTTTTTTACATATTTCGATTCTACGACTCAAATTATGCCAGAATACCAAGTTTTGTAAAAATCGTACGAGTAGTTTTTAAAATATTAGCTCTCAAAATTTTAGCTCCTCAATGTTAATTGAATTTGGCAAATATTTATTAATATCTCTTTTTTTATTAAACTTTTTTGATTTTTTCTCTCACATTTCGAAATTTAGGTTCATTCCAAATAAAATTTACCCATTTTTTGTGTTTTATTTTTAAAATTTCTATTTTTAAATAATTTTTATAAATTTTTCGAAAAAAATTTTGAATTATAACCTATAAAATTTTTACCATCATCTTAAAGTAGGTGTATTTTTAAGCATATCTGCAAAAAATTAGACTTTTTTATTCAAAATTTTCTAAGATATACACGAATTTACATATTTTCGCGTTTTGAAATTTGGCATCTTTTTTTTTGAGCGATAATAACGCCAAATGTGGTCTATGGATTTTTGTTACACTGAATTGCCACAGCTATTTTTAACCTTAAATTTCAAGTAAAATTTTACGGAGAATTAATTATATGACATTTTTTCCCTCAATGATGCGTAATAAATATTTATTAATACTATATGAAAAGCTATTTTTTAAATTATAGATGATATTATTCAAATTTTTAACATTTTTTTAAAATTTCTCTCTTTTTCCTTTTTTTTAAAAAAAAATAAGAGTAATTTTTGTAAGAGTAAATTTTTACCTTCGGCGTTTTATCGTCTGCTACTTTACTTCGTTTAAATCGAATTGTCTAAAACTGAGAATTTTCGTTTGATGTTTTTGATTTTATGAATTTTATGACATTAACTGCATAATTTATTTCTAAACAAACTGTTGCTTTTGAAGTGGCTGAAAGAGCGGCTGATACTATCATCCATATTTTTAAAGCACAGTATATTTTTATAGAAACATAAGATTTAGAATAATCATTTTTATAAAAGTCAAATTATGATATAAACATACAACCCTCTAGAGACTGAATTAATGGAAGTTCAATGGTTATGTAGAAATGATCTGCAGCTACTTAATGGCTGGATAAGTCAGCAGATTCTGTGGACAAGTAAGAATAATTATATAAACGACACCCAACATTCTGGATTCAATTAACAACGAGGATACGATGTTTATTAAATGAATTTAAGAAGTTTTAAAACATAAAAAATCAACTCATTTTTTTATCCTAAAATGTATTTTTGTGCGTAGCGTATTTTCATTATATCCTTAAAATTCTAATTTAGAATGTAATTGTCAAGAACTGAATCCTAATCATCAGTAATATAATAAGTAATTATTACGGTTATTAATAAATCCTTCTTATAAAGTAATTGCAAATATTTCAAAAAACTTTCTGTCTGAATGCAAATATTTTTCTATGCAAATATTTTTAATTTTATATTAATCAAGATTGCACACGATATTATTTATTTGCACTTCAATTTTTACCGTCAGCTCTAGTAGAAGTTACAAATCAATTATATTTAATTAAGGATTGGATTGGATTGGATTATTTAATTATGGCAAAGCACACGAGGGCTATCTGCCTAAAGGGAGGGATGCCTTCGTGGAGGACTTTCTAAGGGAAACTGGCTCGTATACACGTTACACATGGGGAAAAAACCACGAAAACCGCCCATGCGGCCAGCCCGTTCGCGGGATTCGAACCTCGGACCAAACAACCAGTGTTCAGCGACTTTACCGCTCGGCCGCTCGTGGGCTATTTAATTAAGGAACGACCATCTAAGTTTAGAAGCAGCGTACCGTAACAGCAACTCAATTATTGGCGCCGTATCTTTCATGTTACTCCCGATTGGCAAGCTACATGATTTTTAATGAGTATTCGGGTTTTGCTAGTAACTTAGAAATCGCGCTTAAAACTAGGTTAGTTGGTTATTTGAACACAGAAAGAACATGGGAGCTATTTGATTAAGATGCTTTCATAGAGAACCTTTGTAAAGAGAACCTAAAAAAACTACGAAAACCAACCATGCAAAGTTTGGGTTAGATTTCGCAACAAACAATTAGTATTTAACAATCTTTTCAAATGCTAGGCAACTGGTGAGGCTCCAATTAAATCTCCAATTTAATTTGTAAATATTTAAAATATTGTTGTATTCTTAGACACAAAAAGCAGAATTTAAGTTTTGTTAACTCGTTAGTAAACTACCAAGCCGTAGTGCAAATGAATATTCAATTTCTTTTGCAATAATTGTATTCACTTAATATTCTTGGAATATGAGCTAAAGAAGGAACGTTCTCGGAAGATTAAAGAAGTGTTTAAATCCAGTGATATTAGGTT